AGCCACTCATATAGTAAAATCTGGGGAATTATTGCAGTGCATAAAATAGGCTCCATAATAAATGCATTGCATTTTAAAAATACGAGCGTTGATATTCAAGGCCCTGAAGTTAAACCGACAATTCCCAGTTAGAAGAAATTATCAAAGAAAATCAAAACCGCTATATCTTGAATGAGTAAAACCAAATTTGGTAGATTTTCACAAAACTTATTTTAAAAAATAAAAATTACAAAAATTAAAAACACTATACATGACCTGTTTCGAAGTACAACTTCTTTTTCAAATCTATAATACTATCACATACACAGTGAGTGATTGTACGATTGTACGATTTTTATATACTTAAGTAAGTAAAGGTTCTGTAATACGGTCGATATTATGGTTGTATTTACATTGTTGTCAGATCTTTCGGGTTTCTGGAAATATAATGAACTTTGTTATTTCAAATGGATCACCCCGTATATTTTTGATATAGAGAACATTACATAAAAATAATCAGTATTTCTTAAGGATTTCAAAAAAACAAAAAATATAGTTGTACCTCGAAACATGTCATGTATGTTTTTAATTTTTATTTTTTAAAATAAAAGTTTTGTGAAAATCTACCAAATTTGGTTTTACTTATTCAAGATAAAATAGATTTTCATCAAGTAAAGGCCGAAACAATAAATAATAAAACAAAAAAATAAATAAAACCGCTATAGTTGATTAGCGCTTTCGTTCTAGAGTTATCTAGTCGGCGCACATAATAGGCCGGGACGCACAGATGAATTTTTTGCGTATTCCGATTTAGAATAATAGGAAATGTAAAGAAAAGTGTTAAAAAGTGGGAGCAAGAAAATTGATGAATTTTAATTGACCAATAAATGACAAAATTAATATAAGCGCACAAGTATGGTTTATCTATTATGAATTGAATATGTTAACAAAAAACTACCCAAAAAAGGAGGGTTGTTTTTTAGGGTTCATAGTATATACACGGTGAGTTTTAAATATGGAACGCCTCAGTTATCCAAAGATAACAGAGATACATATAACCATAAATATAATATTCACGATCCCAAGATTAATTCGGCAATCAATACGCTCCATTTGTAGGTCCGCGGCGAGGAGAGGAAAGGTGAGAGGTAGGAAAGGGGATAAAGAGAAGAATTTTACGGCGATACAATTTTTTTTATCGCGCTTATAATAAACAACGTAGATATCTATGCCACTTCCAATTTAACATTACTAACAACTAATTTAATGAAATTACATCTAAATTAGTTAAATTTGGCATAACAAATAATTCAAAATTTTTTGGAATCAGTTGCAATAAAATAGGTTGAATTATTTTAGCTTTTTTAATGTATAAATAATTTTGTAAACAAAACGATAATAATGAAATAGGCATTTGACAACAGCGAATAATTATACCATCCTGTGTCCCTTAGAATATGTTTTATTCAGTACAGCAGGATATTTCTTAGTAGTTACATCTCTTGTTATCTTTGATTTTTATATACTTTGGAAATATAATGAACTCTTGTTATTTCAAATGGCTCACCCCGTATATTTTTTGTTTTTTGAAATCCTTAAGAAATACTGATTATTTTTTATGTAATGTTCTCTATATCAAAAAATATACGGGGTGGTCCATTTGAAATAACAAAGTTCATTATATTTCCAGAAAACCGAAAGAGCTGACAGCAATGTAAATACAACCATAATATCGACCGTATTACAGAACCTTTACTTACTAAAGTATATAAAAATCGTACAAGCCGTTTTCGAGATAATTGAGGCATTCCATACTTAAAACTCACAATGGGGTCTATTCTGTAACAATTCCTTTATATTTAACGGCCTTTAAAAATATTTGCGGCCTATAAAAACATGTTCGTATTCGTTAATTTACTTCTATCATTATTTAAACAGATTTCTTTAAGATAGTCCTCTAATGTATTTTAAAGATCCGTTTAAATAGTGACCGAATTAAAGAAGAAAATATTTTTAAAGGCCGTTAAATATAAAGGAATTTTTACAGAATAGATCCCTGTGTATGTGATAGTATTATAGATTAAATTTAAGTAGAGTAATCTAATATTTAAGTATAGTAATCTAATTAAGAATCTCATTCTATACCACATTTCTGACACGGCACTCATCTGATAATATCACCAGATTGCATTCTCTTACAGGTCACATCGAGATATGTCGTTTTTATCAATTCACTTCTCAAAATTTATTTTTATTTATGTTTATCTATTTTTATCTTTTTATTTATTTTTATTTTTTTTAAGTATTTATTTTTAATTATTTTAATTTATTTTTAATTATTTTTTTCCGCTCCCCTCCCTTAAAATATGAAAATCCAAAACCCTGAAAAACGTCCACTAGATATGTGCACATTTATTCATTGATAAAATAAAGTTTTATCTGCGTACAATCCTTCTATTTATCCCCTCTCTTACTTCTCACTTTTCGTTTCCTCGCCGCGGACCTACAAATAGAGGGTATTGATTGTCGAATTAATCTTGGCATTGTGAATATTATATTTTTAACGGACTTCAAAAAAGGAGGAGGTTCTCAATTCGTCGCAATATTTTTTTTTATGTATGTTCAGCGATAATTCTTTAACACGGTGTCCGATTCCAATGATTCTTTTTTTTTGTTAGAAAGGGGGTACTTCAGGGGCGGTCCCATATAAATTTGGTCAAAATCTAATAATTGGGTCCATGAGAAAATCCTCAAACTCCTCATTTTTTATGTATGGTTAGAGATAATGCTTTACCACCTTGTCCGATTTATATAATTCTTTTTTTGTTAGTAAGGAGGTATAACCTCGAGTGGTCCAATATAAATTTGGTTAAGATGTGGTGATGGCATCTGCACGTTTTTGAAGTCGTTTTTTTTTTAATTTTTAATTTTAATGAATGGTTATATCTCTGTTACTTCTGAATATAAGTAAAATTAAAAATAATAATATAAGTAAAATTATGAGAAGTAAAAATAGTAAAAATATAAATAAAAATAGAAGTAAAAATATAAGTAAAAATATAAGTAAAACTATGATTAAAAACATAAGTAAAACGATTAGTAAAAATGTGGATATGTGTAATACATAAACAACTACGACAATATTGAATGTTTTTAGGGAATAAAAAAAAAATAAATTACTTTATTTGAGATTCAAATATCTCACTAATTTTATTTAAGTCAGTTGCCAATATGTTTTTACTTTCTTTTTGAATAAAATTTATTTTTTTATATCATTTGGAAGAATATTTTAATTTTTTTTGCACTATATGAGTAGGATCTTTGTGATTTTTTTCACTAGGCATAAAACAGTATTTATTTTTTGTGTAATATACATTTTTTTTTATTTTGGGAGGAGTAAAATTTAGTAATTGTCCAGTAAATAAATAACTATCTTATGTTATAAAGGGTTAAATCCGGTTCACCCTATATTCACTAAGCCGCTATACGACATACGTTTGACTTTTTATTCTCACTTTGCTTATAATGTAGCCGGAAACTACAAATAATTCTTTCTTTCTTCCGTGTTTCATATTCATATGCTTACATACACCTGTCACACTTGTAGTTGTAGTAGTAGTAATTTTTATAATATATGTATAAATATCATCCTAGATGAGAATTCAAAACCGTTGATTCCGTGTTTTGTATTTTTTTTTTTTTTTCGTTCGTCCTTTTACGTGTTCATTAATAAAGGACGGAGGCGTAATTATAATTAATCTAATGAACTCACTTTCCGTGGCATGTCAACCCGTTAAAAAATTACCAAGAACAAGAATAATTCGTTTGTATGTTTCACCCTTTTTTAAATACTATGATGACGTATTTTCGTTTCGTTTAATCAACGTTTTACTTTATCTAATCGTTAAGAAAAAATGCAATTTATATAAATCTATAGTATATTATTTAACGAGCAAAGAATGATTATTCTTTGGCACAAACTTTGAGTGTATTCCTCCCTGAATTTAATCTGTACGTTTATTATCTCTTTTCTTATTGGGTTTTAAACAATTTAAGTGTAAAACATTTTTTTTCTCGCCTCTAAGAAAGTAATCCTTTCTTGTGATGCCTTAAACTCGGAAACCCTCGGGCGTAAGTTTTATTAATATGATTTGCTTCACAACCATTTGATACAGCGTCAAAACGAGACGGGTAGCCTCAGATGGAGGTACGGAAATTCCAGAGCTCAAGTTGATATCAGACTGTAATTTTAAAAGGGTAACAATTGCGGACTTAAATCGTTACTGTTGCGCTAGAAAATTTCCGGAAGTTGAAAAGAGTTATATAAGGTAAAACAAGTCAAATTAGCACATATATTGCTTACGAAAGCTAATGAAAAGTATTGAGTAGTATTTCAAAGTCTTTGAAACTTAAATATGAATAAAAAGATAGATTACGGACGATAACTAGGACGGGACGGAGCTCAGTTAGACGTTAATAAATAAAGAAAATAAAACGTTCTTCATTATATCGGATTGTGGTTAAACAGTATAGTGTTTAGGCCAGAGACTCTCAAACTCTTTTTTCTCGCAGAGCCATGTTTTTCGGTTTTGGATAGACCCCCTACTTAGCTAACATTGCATTTTTAAAAATTCATTAACTTCAACTGTGTTTTAACTGATTTCTAACTGTAATGAGTTGTAGAAGAAAAAAAAAACAATAAAAAACGCACATTAATTTTTATACATAATATTTTTATTACATATTTATGTATGAATGTAGGGAATATAAAATCTACCTCTTAACTTTTGGACTTTTGACATAAATGTGATAGCTCCAAATCTGAAATTGATAGCTGGACGCAGTTTGTTTTAAACATTTTTGATTTATTGATTCTCAAATGGCGATCAATCTAGTTTTTCGTAACTTGGGATTAAACTATACTCTGATATATTATAGGTCTTTTTATATATAGTTATTTTAGGAACATTTATAAAAATTGTAAGACAATTATAAATTCAATGGTTTTTGTTTTGTTTCAGATTTTATAGAAGAAGATGGTCCGATATTTTGTAAATTTATTCCTATTCCGGCTGGTATTTCCTATCATAATCACAATATGTAAGTATCTAAATATTTTATTTAAATTTGAATATACATAAACAATAATTACAAGTGCTAATTACAAGATATTTATCACTGTCGATTTTTATTATAAACATCATTAATCTGTACTTCCAATAATTACGTTTTAAAAAAATACTAGGTATTACTTTACTTTTAATTTTATTGTTTAGAATCTATAAATTAGCGCGATTATATCCTCTAGTACTTTCGTAAATAATTGTTCTTAGATTACTTACTACTGTGACATGTCTTATATTCTCTGTGATTTGGAAGTCGTGGGTGACTCCAGGCTGTTATTTTGAACAAGAGTTGCCCGGACGCCAGTTTTGATTACTCACTTTACTCTGCGACCTTCAAGTGCAATAATAATCCACTTCCAAACGGGTATAGTTAAAAGAAACACAGGCAATATATATACAATAATATATTTCAAATGAACGGTAGCCTCGGTTGGGCAGTATCAAACCCAAACAATAACGGTCTCTATTTACAACAAATTTCCCACAAAAATAATAGTGAAACTAATATAATAAATAAGAACGGTAAGGCCACAAAAGTATTTCTATCTAGAGCCGTAAGTTAAACTTTCTTGACATTGAGACATGAAAAAAAAGCTAGTTACAAAGCTAGTTGCCTAGTATTACGAACAAAGCTATGTTGTATAATTTTATATTTCGTCGGTACTCCAACAATAATCGCACCCTGAAATTGCGAAAAATTTAGTTCCATTGGCGTTATTTTGATATGTCCAAGGACAATCAATGAATAGACCTGGCCCATTCATAAAATACCAGTGGGAGACACTACCGATGTATGCCAATAACCTTTTATCTCTGTAGGACAAGGGAGTGCTTTCTTTTTATCGTTTTTAAAAGGCTGACTTACTGTTAGTTTATTTGGGACGATGAGAAAGTCGATATATAACTGTAAATCAGATAAAATAAAAATAGATAACAATTCGTTAATACCTGTATTAACATATTATATCTGATTGTTACGAACTTAGGCTCAGATACTTTAATTATAAAACCAACACAAACAATTGGTACAAATTTCTGTAATTTTCTTTTGAAATACATTAAAATATGTACCATATTTTAAACATTACCATGGTTTACTCCTATTATTTGGATTGAAAACCTCAAATTATCTATGTTTATAGGTTTCTACTTAAAATAATAGCGATGGTTATCCAAATTAAAAGCAAAACTAAATTTAAAAGTTGAAGTGTCTCGGCATTATTTCTAAACGTTGCCTAACATAGATAATTTGAGGTTTCCAACCTAAATATTCACACTGTAGGGGAAGGGCGGGCAATGTGACATAGTTTACGTTTGAATGGCTCTTACAAAGTAAAAACAAATCTAAAAAAATTAAATCATTGCGCATTCAACTTACATTTTATTGGCCTTTAAGACCTGAAATATCCGCACTCTCAACTAAACGCATATGCTTGAAATCACAATATTTTTTCATCTTAGCAAAATTTTACTTTGCCCGCACTAGTGCGGCCGAAGTGAAATTTTGGAGAGGGCAAAGTGGAATGCAGCAATAGCTGGAAAATTTAACACAATTAATGAATTTAGTAACACAAAAGATATTACTTTATTATCAAATGAAGACATAGTTTATATTTTCACTAAAAAATAACAGAATATTTTTTCTTAAAAAAGTGATAAGGCACATTTTTCTATAATTTTTCTATATATTAACAAACTGACAGCTCCGGGATATGGAAGAAACCTTTTGGTAATAGTTTTGGTTCGTTTATATTCATATGGAGATCTTGATATGAATATGACATCAGGTCCTATTTTGCAGACCATCGGAAATACTTTTGAGTTTTTTTCCATACATTTAACTGTCACTCTATCTGTTGTTTTATTTACAACCAGCCCTGGGAAAAATTTTCCCTCATACTGGACCACAACCCAACGTCCTTCATGAATCATTTCTGATGAGATAGTCCGTTTAGTAACTATTTTGTTTTCAGTTTCTTCATCTGAAAAGCTCTCCTCAGAATAACTGAGGAGCATTGGAGCAAAACCGAATAAATCCACTTTTTATGAAAATTAAGTTAGCGACAGATTTCAACTTACTTTGTTAAATTACATCTTTATAGACTACCTGTCCGAGCAAAACCGAATAAATATTTGTAAAATTAATTGTCGAAATTGATGTGTTTGTGCAAAACCGAATAAATCCACTAGTAAAGTGGTGTAAACAACACATCAGCATTCGCTGTAGTTTAAAAGCAGTTTGTAAGAGATATTTCTTTATTTTCATTTGTTTTTCCTCTTATACTAGTGCGGGTAGTTATGAATTTTGATTTGGGTAAAACTGAATAAATCATTTTTTTTGTCATATTTTTAACAAAAATTATTTTTCAAAATTATAATTGCAGAGGGTGTATTATTTATGATGCCTCCAATATTATTGTTTTCACCAAACAAACGAAAAACCAGTACTTTTTGTCTATTTGGAAAATCGTGTTTTCCCAAAAATCGTTTATAGTGGATTTATTCGGTTTTGTCCAAAAGCTCCTCAACTGTCGTCTAATTTCAGGCTCGTTTCACTCTCAGTATCTGAAGCAAATAGTTGTTTTGTGACCTTCCTGACTTTTTTTTATTTTTTCTCTTTTTTCTTGTTCCTTCTGCTCTTTTCGTCCTTTTTTATTTTGAGTTCTTCAATAAAAGGTGTGCTGGTAGCTACAACTCTTACGCTTTTTTGATCCCTTTGTAATTTCATTATTTCTGCTGTCCACATGAGGTATAGGTAAAATGTCATGAGGTGAAACAAGTTCAATTTTTGGAGGTGTTCTTGTAAGGCGGCTTGAATGAGCGGATGTTGTAGCCTGGTTCTCATCACAACGTATTGTTTCAGCAGCTGATGTTGTAGGTTGGTTCTCATTACAAAATGAACGATTAGTTGTTTCATTAGCTGAGGTTGTAGGTAGGTTTTCATTGCTAAGTGAACTATTGTTTCAGTAGCTGAGAAAGCATCATCAGGAAAAACCAGTTGGAAAGGGTATATGCCGGTTTTTTGAAAGCCTGAAAGTGCATTTTGTAAGGTGGCTACCTTTAGATATGCTTCACCAAAAATGTGTCCAATTTCGTGAATAGTGACCACTTCACCAGGATGCTCTCTCAGCCTGCTCATAGTAAGCTGAGAGAGGGAACATGAACGCCACATCCAATGGCTGCAAGCGGTGAGTGCAGTGTGGACTGTGGAGGTAGTACTAAAATATCAACATTATTTTCCTTTGCCAACATCTTCACTTCTAGATTATTGATGTGCGTAGCATGTCCGTCGAGAATTAACAAAACACGCACTTCAGCTGTAGGTTTGGAATATTTTATAAAATGTTTAAACCATTCCACGAATATTTCTGACTGCATCCACCCGTACGGATGTGTGAAAACTTTCGTGTTTGGAGGCAGGCCTTTTTCAAACAATGAATTAGCTCGAACTCTCGGGAAAATAAGTGAAGGAGGAATGTAGTGTCCGGTAGCGCTAAAGCAAATTTCGGCCGTCACTAGAGTTCCTCTTTCAGCTGATGACAAAACACCCACCTGCTTCTTCCCCTTTCGAGATATTATCTTTGACGGTCTGTTCGGCACTGTGCTAATACCAGTTTCATCACAATTATACACTCTATCAGGAGTGTAGATTCGTATAATCCTTCAAGAAGGTCATAAAACTTATTAACGTTAACTTTGTTGAAATCAGAAGCCCGTGTTTTCTCGGGAAGACGTAGAGAGAGTTCAGGATGTCGTCTTAGAAACCCCTTTACACAGTCCTTTCCTGCCTTTTTGTCTCTTTGATTAAAGTTGTTAGCTATTTGATTGTGTTCCGCAAATTGAAAGGGAAGATACTTGAGTTCTGATAGCGTCAAACCAAAAAGTCGAGATTCCATGGTAAGGATATATTCAACCAAGATGTTTTCTTGTTCGGAAGTAAATATGGTCCGAAAGCGTACCAAACCTTTTTTCGATGCTAGATTTTGAGGTTTTTTTATTCTTCGAAATAATGTTGCTACTGGAACATGGTAATTTTTTGCAGCTGCATTAATACTGTTATTACCTTCCCTAACTGCATTTATCGCAGCCTTCATACAGTCTTCTTCCCATGCTTGTTGATTACTTTTTCTGTTGTATTTATGAACCATTCTTACCTGCAAAGAATTGGAAAAAAACATTGTTAAACATGGCGGGCAAAGTGAAATAATTTCATATTGCCCGTCACATCCCATTCCACTTTGCTCGCCCTAAATCAAAATAATGAAAACATTCATAACTTTTTACATAGCCGTAATAACGAGACGATTATTAGTAAATATGTTCTCAATTCATTATTTTATGTAATCCTTATCAGCAAACCAAAACAGGCATTATAACAGAAATGTCAGAGCATCGGAAACACGAACGACAAGTATACCTTCAATAAGATTGCCGCCATACTAGTTTCCGGCGGTGCCGATTGTCTTAATCTACAAATAAATAGTACTAGATGGCAGCCACGGTAACAAACATAAAATTAAAATAGAAATTTCACTTTGCCCGCCCCTCCCCACACGAATAAATAACCAAAAGAACCACAAAGTCTTTACCACAATCAAAAAATACAATTTATTGGCATTGATTTACATATACATATTTAATTGCAATATTAAAAACATAAAAACATTGTTTAAAATAATTTAGAATTTATTTACTATAATTTTAGATTAATTATCTATATGCTTCTTGTTAAACTGTTTTCTTCCAAATGTACTCCTGTTCTGTAAATGGGTTTAACCTGTTACAACAATGTATAAATAAATAAATAATAATAATACAATGTTACAGTATAGTTAGAATAAAGTTTATATTAGTTTTTTTTTTCATGTGTAATTATTTGTTGTTTCAATAGAGGACTTCTATACAAGGGAAGTGCAACCAACTTGACAACATTTTTTTGACACTAATGACATAAGAAATCGGGTCACATAAAGA